TGGATCATTACTGGGGACTTCAATCTTGTCACTTCGACATACACCCTCAACGCCGCTCTAGGGGATAAGTCTATCACCGAGGAAACTGTAGATGCCTTGTCTTCCATAGAGGCAGCTATCAGTGATGCTGGATTATTGGATGCATGGTCGGTCGCTCGAATTGAAGCAGTCGACCAGACAGCCCCCAGTGACGGTGAAGTTCTATACGAAGGTGAAGAAGGAGCTACCTTCGACCCACAAAACAACAGGCTTGCTGCAGGAACCACTACCACTTCGCATGATCGACCACAGCGCTATGACCGAATACTCGTCCGCTCACAAGACGTACTCAGCGTCGCCCGGTTCAATCATTTCGGGCTTCCTGAGGTTGTTGATGGTGCTCAGATCTTCGCTAGCGATCATTATGGAGTCAGAACAAAATTGAAGATTACTGACGGTACTGTGATCAGCAGCGCGACTGGCGTTGAATACATGGAGAAAACCATTGTTGAACATAAGCGAGTAGGCACGACCTTGTCGGAGTCGTCAAGTATAACTTCAGCGCTTGCGGCCCATGGCATGTTTCCGACTGATGAGCAGACAAGACAGCATCAGGATGCCTTCGAAACCTTCCGGCAGATCTTGCTCGGTACTCTGGACGCTACTGAGGATTCAATACAGCCTGAAATACCATTTGTGATGGTGCCAGTGGGCTCGTACGCATTGGGTGTTTGGACATCTGACTCAGACATTGATTGTCTTTGTATTGGAACCATCAGCTCCAAGACTTTCTTCAAACTTGCTCGGCAACGAATCATCAAGTCCGATAACCGGGGAGTGCGAATTTTGAGAAAGGTCGAAGCTAGCACTGGCACTATGCTTGAGCTTTCCGTCAACGGGGTATTGATGGATCTTCAATACTGTCCTGCAACACAAGTCGTCGAGAGGTAGGCTTTTGGAACTTATTATCGTGACACTGCTGACATTATTTAGGTGGTCTGAGTTCCGCAATATCCCAGCATCTGACCCTATCTTCAACCTTTCGCTCCTCTCACTTCGCAAGCTTAAACCGTACCGCGATTTACTATACATCCAGCGCACGCTACCATCCCTGTCCTCATTTCGCCTAGCATATCGCTGTATCAAGTTGTGGGCTGTTCAGCGTGGTCTCTACTCTGCAAAGTTTGGCTTCCTAGGTGGTGTTCACATTACGCTCATGCTCTCTTGGATCTGCAAGCGACTCGCGTACGATTCCGGTTCAGCCAGCGCCGCTGATCTGGTTACGAGCTTCTTCCATCACTATGGACAATTTGATTGGACGAACGAAATGGTCTACGATGTCTTTTTCCATAAGAAGAGGCCACGCTACAATCGTAGTGCAAGAGAGCCAATGGTGGTCCTAGGTTTCCATGCGCCAAACTCAAACATCGCGCACACGTCAACTGTGCCTGGCCTTCAAACATTAGTCAAGGAATTCAAGGCTGCAGGCGAACGGCTGTGCGAACAAGGGATGACATGGGATGCATTCTTTGGCCTAGGACCAACCTTGTCTTCAGTATCAAGCCCCTCGCTTGGAGCTGCTGGATTTCTGGAAACTTACCATAATTTTGTCAAGGTTGACATTCAGTTCTGGGGCCGTACTTTGACCAAGGGCAAGAGTTTGGTTGGTTGGGTTGAGTCACGATGCATCTCACTTATCGTGGGTAAGTTTCGACCATATATCAGTGAAGCTACATTAGTGTATACTGACGATTACAGAAATCCACAAGACATTGCCAAACTCCGAAGTACGGATCTGGCCAGGTCGGTTCACAAACAACGAAACGAGTGCTGCCGACGAAAGCAGAGACTACCACGGTTGTTACCTTATTGGTCTCTCGAAAGCCACCAATTTTACCTCTGTCGATGCTCCCGATGACAAGCAAGCGGCTAAGCAAGCCTTGGAGAAAGTGATCGACCGCTTCCTAACGCAACTCCGGACCGACGAGAAGAACTACGATTCGAGCAACTGCTGGATCGATGCCTCATTAGTAAGGTCCCGTAATGTTAAAGAGCTGCGGCTAGATTCCCGGGAGTGGGGTGAATACGCTATGGAGATGGAATCAGACTCAGACGACGAGGAAGATCTGGACGAAGATGAAGAAGACAATGAGGCCACCAAGCCTCAGCGTGCGATACCTCAACGCCCAAAGCCGACTTCAACCCCTCTCTCGAAGACCAAGTTACGCCCCGCATCTGATGTTCTCAACCGCTTACGTTGGGATCCAAGTCTCGACCCGAGTGACTACATCATTGGATACGAAGACCGTTTCCTAGGCGCAAAAGAAACCGGTCTTGAGAAATGGAAGACTGAACAAACTGATGAAGAGTTCATCCCGCAACATCGTATACTGTACTTCAAGAAGAAAGGGGATGATGGAAATGGTGAGGTGGTGTGGGAGAGAGCAACACGGATAGACAAGATCTTTGGGAGTGGTCTTGGTGCTGGAGAGCTCAAGTCGCGATGAGGTGTTGTACGGAATCTAAGTTCGATACCCAATCATTGCCTTGCACCATCTAATACCTCGTTTCTGATATCCGTCTTCATGTGATAGATATGCATAGGTGCATAAGGGCAGTATAAAAATGAATTGAGAGAGATGCCGGGGTTGAGCGGCCCCCTGACCAAACCATGTCAGCCACATTCGTAAGTTACGACGATTGGTGCCTGAGGTTGGGCTTGGCAGCTTACTCTTGAGCGTTGGATCTCTTCCATTTACATCGATGGCTCTAGAGTTACCTTTTCACCCATCAGGTAGCTTCTCTTCCTTGCTACGTATCTCATGGATGCGTGCAATTGAATCAGGTCACTCAGCGTTAATACCTCCAACATTGCTTAACAAAGTAAAAAATCGTGATATTGCTGTAACAATCCATATGCAAAACCAGAAACCCCCAAAGCCAGAGACGCAGTGTTCATGTACCTGAGGTGCATATGTGAAACGAAGTCAGGGGTGGTAGTTTCAGACCTCGTTATCGATAAATCGATATATCCCGACGAATGACCATATAAATTTGTAGCATCGACCACCCTACAGCGATTCTGACCATCCGAAAAAAATATCATTTCAATCATCATGGAATCACTACCCCTTGAAACCCGTGAGCACATTGCCTCCTTCCTGCTCGAACAACCAAACTATGCAGAAACCGAAAGTTTACCAGTGTCATCACACAGCGCAAGAAATGACATCTACAATACTCGTCTAGCCAGCCGACGCATGCACGAAGCAACAACAAAAGCCTTTGCTCGCGCGATTGAAGATGTTCCCACAAAATGCCAACCATAGAGTCTGCAAAATCTCAATTCTCTTGTCGCACTCCCCTATGTCGGCCATAATATCAAGAGCTTGGGATTTGAGACGTCGAGGATCGACGAAGAAGACTTTGGACCATTATGCGGAACGCATCCAGAACGCGTGGCGGCACTGAGTGTGCGAAATCGGTGGCTTATGGAGAAATCCGGAGGGGAGCTTGTATCTGTGTTTGTACGGACACTGGGGTTGAGACATTTGACTATTATACCGGATCAAATGGTTCCGGTGGAGAAATTGGAGGTGGATGAGATGGTGCTGAGTGTGGTTGTAGATCCTTTTGAGGTGAGTCGCTTTATCCTGTCTTCGTACGTGTGTCCATACTTGGTGACACATTCCGCGAGTCCAGCACTAATGCGGATCTATTACAGTGTATCCAACAAGCCCTCTCAGCAACCAACCTCGACCAAAAACTCAACCCCTCAAAATCCTAACCAGCGACCCACCAAAAAACTACCGCCACGGCGTATTCTACCCCAACAAATTCGGCGCCATGGTTCGCCGCCTCCCCTCTCTCACATACACATGACCGTCAGCGCAGAAAGCCAATTCGTAACCTCAGTCCGCTTCATAGGCCCGAAGTTAACGAACCTAAACATCTACCTCGCCCGCGGTATATACCTCGGTTTCGGAGCTTACACGCCTCCGTTCTTCAATCCCAGGGGGAAACCACTGGAAGACATGACGATAAGCGCCTACGGCGCCGACATAAACTACCGCGACCTCTACAAAACGCTCGTCGAACTAGGCGCTACCACACCAACCACCATATTCGTGGACCGCCTAACCATCAGCGGATCATCCATCCACAAAGCCACAGCCTGGTTACGGCGGGCTCTCCCGCGAAACCTACATTTTAGGGAACTCGTCTTCGACGACGTTTATCTGTGTTCTGAGAATGATGTCGTGCCGCTGTTTGCGAGGTGGCGGGCGCTTCCTGTGTGGGCAGAGAAGGCCGGTGTTGTCAAGTTTGTGACTGAGGGGGTGGAAAGGGTGGTGTCTCCGAGTGATATGTTTCAGGGAGAGAGCAATGAGAGTGAGGTTGATGATTTCTATGGGGATGATATGGAGGATGAGATTTATGAGGAGGAGGGGGAGGACGAGGTGTTTGATTATGATACAGGGGACGAGGAAGAAGATCATATGGATGAGTTGGAGGAAGTGGATGAGGTGGAGGAAGTAGACGAAGCTGAGGGATCGGTGGTCTAGATAGTAAGTCGTTACCATTATCCCTGCAGGTCAGGTCTCACATAACATCAGGTGTAAACGAATATACATCAATGTGTTGTGCAAGTCATCATTATCACTATCCCCGTCGAGATACACAAAATGCCGTCAGATAGCATCGCCAACTTACAGTTTCGAATAGAGCTCATCAGTAGACCGATAAGCGGGTTCGGGAGGCAGAACTCTAGGCTCTAGTGTCATAATTGTAAGCGACCTCAATCCTTCAGAACTCGAAAAACAGTATATTATTCATTACAAGGAGAGTCATATACCTCGTCATCATATTCATCATCACCTAATCCCCACCTAACAAAAACATACTAATTCCCAGGCCCAGTAAAGTTACCAATAAACACAACCAGGATAGCGCAATAAGCTGCAGAAGCAGCGAACAACTCATGTCTCGCCGCTTTAGTCAACAGACTCATTGCAGCGCTAAAGAGAAGTGTAAAAACCACCAACACACCGACCGCATTGAAAGTATCCCGACTATTGATATCCACATTTGTGGTAGTTGTGTTGCCAGAGGCGTCTGTCTCGACATGCGAGGCTGTGTTGGTTAATTGGTACATGGTGATGACAGGGACGACAAGCAGGCAGAAGATGACAAAGGTGATGAGTATGTTGACGAGTTTATCGACGCGGGAACTGCTGTAGTAGCATACACTGGGATCGGACGTCTTTTCCTGGGCTTCTGGTGTGCGGAAGTATTTCTGGGGTATTGTTAATACGAGATGAAATGGTTGCTGAAATTAGCGATAGCGTACCAGTAGTGGTCGTGACTTTGTTCGGAAGATCTTCTGTAATAAGCGGTCGGTTTGGCCGATCATGGTTTCTATGTGGCGATCGAAGGTCGCCCATTCACGGCCGTTGTGTAATGACACTATGTCTTCTTTGCAACGGATAGAGTCCATTTCGGCGTCCATGAGTGGCTTCTCGTTGTTGCAGTAACGTCTTACACTGCGGTAATTGCGGTCGGAGGGTTTCTGGAAGGACTCTAGAGTTCTTGCCTTGATGAGAACTTCGTCTATCTTGTTGTTAGGTACTGAGTCATGGCTTCATTTTTTGCTTTCGCTTCCAAGGCAATAAACGTACCATAGTCTTTCAGCCTGTCTCTAATTTCACGCAATATAACGCGACGACTACGAGGCTCCCCCTTGTCGTCGGATTGACTCGCGTCGAAATCTCTCGACTTCAATCGACGGGGATCTTCCTCGTAGTCCTCCCAATCGATATCATCCAGTTCTTTTTCTAGCGTTGTGATCTCATCTTGTAAGTCAAGTAGTACACGTGAATGTAAGTAGCTGAAAGACCGGTATAGCGAGAAGTTTGTTTCGCTCGACTGAAAAGCTGCGAGCCTTGGGAAGCCATTAGGCGTCTCTTCCACTGGCACTGATAAGTAACTACGAGGATAGACTAGGAAGCGTGCTCACATTTTCGCGTCTTGTTCTCAGTCACATATTCGGGCTCTGGCTCCGATTGGAAAGAACTTGTTAATCGATGGAAAAACTTGGGGCGCTTCTTTTCATTCTCTGACCATGTGTTAGTTGTGGTCCACTCAGATGAGGGCATGCCGTCTCCGATGACGCTATTCCGTATATCATCGATATGCTATGCAAATGAATTTGGCCATAATAAGCCCTCAGGTAGCAGTGGCATCTGGTGAACGTCTATTTTTGGGGCCAGATATAGTGACTGGGCGGGTTTGGGGGCCAAGTGGGCGTGCAACATCACGTACCAGGCTGTGCACTCTCAAGGTCAATCGAGTTTGTTCGCACTGAGGGCCGAATAGTCGAGTGGCTATCATCACATTCGTTGGGCATCTCAATAGAGGCGTCTCCCGTCAGTTTTGCATCCGTGTCTGTAGGTGATATGGGCGAGTGCGGTGTTTTGTCATCGGTGAAGGTATCTCCGGTCATGGTACGAGGAGGGGCCATTTGAAGCAGAAGGGCAAGCGCGACCCGCACACAAGCGAACAAGCAGCAAGAAGAAGATAAGGTTCTGCGCACAAGCAACGACGGCTCAGGTAATCATCAAAGTGAAGTGTGGCTTCAAAAACTGTGGCGGAAGAGGAATGTATGTAGTATTGGAAGAATGAAGTTGGAGCAGGAATATCGCACGCTCCGTTGACTCAGCCCCGAACTCCGTAAACGCCACTTCCACAATTGGTTGTAATCATCTCAATTACAGCTGCCTGTTGCACACCGGTGAGCTGAGCCACTTGCCAAGTAGCACGAATCAGCCGCCGGCCTTCAGGTCCTTCTCACGTATCCACACACCCTCCAGCTTATTCGTGTAGACGTTGGTAACCTGGTACTCTGTATACCCGCCAGGGTTGTACCTGCTGGCATAAATCGTATAGACAATCTTGGTTCGCTTGCCATTCACTATGGCTGGTTTGTGAACAAGGTCGCCCTTCCTGAAGCGCGGGTCTGGCTGAGATATTGTCAGGATTCAGTTTTTGTACCCAGAGAGAGCTGGCCTACTGCATTCGGGACTTTCTTGTTGGATACGCTTGATTTGGTCTCAGGAATTTGGTATTCCGGCGATGAGTCCAAAAACTCATCCTGCTGATTGTCAGCTTTATGCGGCACGTGTATCGGTGATGCGCAACTCACTGCGATAGCCTGAGCGGGCTGCTCTTCGACGACGTTAGCGGCCATGGTTACCGAGAATTTAGCAGTGAATAGCCTTGTGGGTGATGCCCTTCAGGACGAGAAGGGAGCGCTGTTATACTGGGCCTTGTTGCTGGCCTCCTTGACCATGCACTTGTTGCAGCCCCAGGCAGCACAGGTCCGTGACCGGTTCGTGACCGGCGCTGATTGTGGTTGCAGGTTGGGGGCCGCTCATATGCAAGCACAGCCGCCGCTTAGCAATATCTGCTGTGTCTTCCGCGATGATGCTTCGTAGCCCGCCTTGCGGGTACGCTATCGCCCAGCGAACCGTCATGGTGGACAGCCATTTGCCCTAAGAAGCAATTGCATATGGCGCCAGATGGATACGGTAAGATGGGCGTTGAGACTGCATGATGAGGCCTCAGCTTTCGGCCCCCAAACTGTGGTGATAGATGTTGGCGGGGCATTGATTGGCGGGTTCCCGCTGCGCCTGGCCTCTCCGCATCCTCTAGTTGTGTAGCATGGGCCGTCCAATATTGGGGCTACAAGCTGGTGTGAACGCGTTGATTATAATGGCAGACACTCGCGAACTCCTCCAGCCTCGCAGCCTCAAAGCCTGTTTCTCCAATGCCTCTTTCAGCAACTACCATGATGCGCGCGGCGAACGCAACAGCGATTGCTCCTCGCAACGCAAACTCCCTCTCCAACCGGGTCATCAATGCACATGTACATGATGCGGACGTACAGATTAATATTCAGAACAAGTCAAACGACGTCGAAACAGCATCGCAGAACGAAGGATTTCTTGTAGATAGCACGGCAGAGGAAGATATCAACCGCGCACCAAGTAAAGAGTGTCAAGCAACATGGTGGGGCGAAGCCATCCAACAAAACATGGGTCTTTCCGGCGGATACTCCAAGGTTGCGGTGCTCTTGATCAAGTGGGCCGACGAGTTGGATGAATTGCGGACAGGGCAAGAAGTAAGTTGACGGAATGGAAGGCGAGTTGGTCCCTCATCTGACAAGTGCCTAGGCCCAAGAACTAGAGACGCTCTTCCGCGAACGTTTCCACTACCATACCAAGACTGTGGAGCTCAACATTCGAAAGAAACCACAACTCCAGCTTGACAATCACATCAGCAACTTTATATACGAACATGATGGGGAGAATAGTCTGCTTATCGTGTACTATACGGGACATGGTGAATTCGAGGATGAGAGTAAGACTCTGTGGCTTACAGCAAGTCTTAATCCCGCAGATGGCGGAGGTTTTCGTCAAGACGCACGCGCCACATGGAACAAAACAGAAGAACAGCTTCGACATCCAGACGTTGAGGGAGACGTATTGACAATACTCGATACGTGCTATGCGAGCAATCTTGTCAAGTCCAGCAGAGAGGACGAAAAGAAGTTTGAGTTACTGAGCGCCTGTGCAATCAACCAAACCACGTCAGCACCCGGACCGAACTCGTACACACGTGCCTTCATTGACGCTGTCAAGTTGCTTCTCGCAGATGATCCCGACCGGCCTATATCAACATTTAGCCTTACAAACCAAATCAACAAGGACGAAAGGCGCAGAGATGCGACTGCGCACCTCTGGGGTCGCAACTACGTCGCTAGGGCCAACCAAGAACACATCTTCTTGTCACCCCTCAAGCCCGAAAAGGTCGACGCTCCACACCTTCCTCTTCGGCGACCCAAGGGCTACCTGACATTGCGGTTTGCCCTCCGCGACGCATCGTTGGACAAAGTCCAAATAGACTACATGGCGAAGCAGCTTAGTAAGGCCTTGGGCAACAGGCCACGGATTGGGTTGAGGAAGATTGACTGGGTTGACATGCAGCCTGCACCGCCAATGTCCCACTTTGAGCGAGTAACGTCCGTTATGCGCGTAATAGGGCAGTGGAAGCGCGTGATTGCCAAGAACAAAGAGAAGAAAGAGAAGGCAGAGTCGATGAATGGGTCGCAGAAGCGTGCGCACGAAGACACAGATGAGATGCGGGATGCAAAGCGGCAGTATCTGGACATCTCGCATCCTCCTTCACCGCCGGTATCAGAATGCTCGCGTATCGATTTCGAGACGTGAACCGATGTCTTTCCTTTCTCATGTTCTCGGTTCTTCTTCTGTTTTGCTTGCATACCGGGATACCCAAGGTTTTGACTAGATAGCATACGTTTCAAACTTGATTGGCTATATTTCTTCCTACATGCGGTTCTCGTACGCGCTCCGTGCATTGTAGCAATGTTTCTGCGTTTTGCGTGCTCATGGGGTTCAGGTAAATGGCGCTTTCGCGGGCCCACCCCACGTCAGTCTAGGCAATGCTACGGACCATCAGTGTCCGGCAGAATTGCGACTGCGGAGTCACATGGTACCGTTCAAGTTCGTGTTGAGGTGTGTAGTCAGACTCACAGCCAACCCTGATATCGATTACGCTCATCTTTTGCTGATCCCTGGATGAATGACCGAGGCTGACTTGTAGGTGCGGTACAGATGGGTAGAGGTGCGATGGTGAATCCCTGGAAGTTCTGCATACAACCACATGGATTCCAGCATGCCATCGGAACACTGACATGCGGCGGTGGTGACGATCGTCTTACAGGGCATAAAACTTTCTTCGGAAACAAAAACAACATGGGATTATAAATGAAAGGCAGCCAGATGCATGCAGGATGACTGGGTTGTGTCATAGCAATCTTACATGAAGCGTGTCTGTGAGGTTGAGCATGGAGGGCGAGTTGGGCTAGATGATGCGGAGAAGGGCCGTGGCCGAGTAGGTAGGTATGTGCACCGTGGAAGGAAGGAAAAGCAGGCCTATGTTTGTCAGGAGATTGGGAGTGGAGCTGAAACTAACGACAGCCGACGAGAAACCAAAGTGCGGCGCAGGGCCAAAGCCGGCTCGCAGTTTGTGTTGCCCGGTGGTCCGTACCAACAACGTGGGCGAGCATGGATGGGGGTGGCTTGGTAATGATAATGATCAAAACAACTCTCCTTTCCCGGCGGCCTGCATACGGGCAAGCCGGAAGAGATGTGTGAGATGTATAATAAGAATAAGCTGAACAGTACTGTAAGGTTGGGGCGGGATTGAGCAGCCACAGCATGACGCCGCACCCGGGCTTCTGGAACTAACTTATTTGGTTGGTTGGGTGTGGCTGAGAGGTGCCGTCTGTTCTCAATGCAGCCGCGCAATCTCCCCTGTACGGTACCGGTTGGCGGGAGGGTGTTGAGTTAGCAAGCGGACAGAAGGGCGCGGGTGAGGAAGAAAAGGGCGTTTGCGTCGTCAGCGATGGCAGTAGAAGCAACTGAGGCATACAATGCATCAGAAGCGTCGTGATGCCTTACTTAGACCCGGACCAGGACTGGGGGGTGCGGTTGTCGGTGGGAAGCAATCAGGCACTGTCCAAGTCGCCAAGTCTAGCGCAAGACGGAAGTCGGATGCACGGCGAGCGAGGGCGGTCGGATGGCAGGCAGTAGTCGTGTGAGTGCCAGTGCCAGTGCCAACTATTGGAACTGCTTTACTGCCTTGGACTCCTGGAGCCGCCAGAAACAACTAAACTGCTACTGTACTGTAACTATACACGCCCATTCTTGTGACGCCCGTTTTTCTTATCACGACACACGTATCGGCTTGTTGTGTCTGTGTGTGTGTGTCTGTGTTGCTGTCTGACCGATCGACCGCCTTGCTCTGTCTGTCTGTCTCTGTCTGCCCGCGCAATCCCCCGGACGACGGCCATACGACGGACCAGAGTCACCACCCTCTTCAAGCCACCAGTACCGGTACCACGACGACTACTACTACCATCACCGCCACCCACACCGCACATACACTGGCTTCCCACGCTCCGTCAACCCCTCCTCCGTTGCGCTCGGGGAAGGCTGCCTCTTTGATGAGCGTGACCATCCATGAGTCGCAGATGATGCCCTTGTATGGCGCCGACTCGTCCGACCGTCTCTCCTTTGCACACGCACAAACTTCGTCGACTGCACGCGAGACCCGCGACGCGCCCGCCAATGGATCCCACCAACACCAATCTATGAACGGGTCCACACAGCAGCGCAAGTCGACCGACCGCCCGAGCAGAGACGACGGCTACTTTGCCTCGATACATAGCAGCAAAACCAAGGACCGTCTTTGCGGCAGCACCACCCACGTCGAGCTCGGCCAGATGAATGCAAACGACGGCGCCCGAGAGGCGAGTAGAGACTTTCATGTTCCGCACCTTGGCCAAGTCACCAATTCCGCTTACAGTGCTGCGCCTGCGCCTGCACCTGCACCTGCACCGTCACCGTCACCGTCGCCCATGCCTCAACCCGATGATGGCACCTCAGCCCTGCAGATACCCAACCAAGGGCAGCGCGTCTCTTCTCCGCCTGCCTTCAACCACAACAGCCCCGGCCCCTCCCAGCATCCTCATCGCCTGCAGCAGCGTCACACCCTCGAGGTCCCCAAAGTGCAGACGTCGCGCGCCCGCGAGCCCCAGCAGAACAACACCGACGACGTCGTCACCGCAAGCGGAAGATTCTCGCCCACGACGCCCCACCGACGGAGAGGTTCCATGTCGCTGGTGCGTAGGACCACGCGCTCCATCCACTCCGACATGCCCCCCGAGGACGTGCACCAGGACGACGAGGCTGCGCGATGGGCCGAGCACATCCGTCAGAAGCGGGCGAGCAAGAGGAAGCGCAAGGAGGACGAAGATGAGGACCGCGTCGTAGTCGGCACAAAGGTCGACCAGAACCACGTCAATTGGGTGACCGCCTACAACATGCTGACAGGAATCCGCTTCACCGTGTCGAGAACAAACGCCAAGATGGACCGAGAGCTCACCGATGCCGACTTTGACGCGAAGCATAAGTTCTCGTTTGACATGTATGTGCCTTCTGACTTCCCCACAACATCAGCACCTCCTCGAGTTTAGCTTCACG